ACATTCCCAGACGTTTCGTCGGCATCGTCAGTGAGTCTCGCCATTCGTAGCACCATATTACAACTCGTCAGATGGACGAGTGAAGCCCATCTTTATACCAAACGTGTGCTAAACAGTTATGGCTTCTCGCCTTCTGCGCTGGCCTATTCACATTTCCTATATCCTCCTATCATTCCCTTCCTATCACAGTTTTTACCGTGCTTATTGTTATTGTAGTGTAGCATGACAGACCAAAAGTCACAGAGGGTTCGGGATCTGATAAATAAGAGGCATGACAAGAAATTGCTTTGCTATGGGATAATAAGACAGAGCAAGACCAAGCCAACCTGGACAAATTTTGATGGTTCCTTAGGCATAGAGACAGGCGGCGATTGGAGCTAGTTGGCTGACAGTAGGTTTTACAAGAGACGTGGTACATGTAGGAAAGACATGACCATTAGACTTACTCAGAGGCTTTAGCCTCGAATTAGTCACCCAGACGCAGGGGAGGGTTAATTACGCCTCGAATAGCACAGATGGGGGGGGGAGCGGGGGTCGAGTGAAATACATGAACCAGGGAGATAGCGGACGGATTCGACAGGACAAGAGGGAGACTTTGATAGGACCCATTTGACGAGTTGTAATATGTTGCTACAAATTCCGAGACTCACTGACGATGCCGGCGAAACGTCTGGGAATGTACCACGTCCACAGTCCGACTTAGGAAATAATTATGCATACAATGGACTCAGGACAAGGTGCGTTCTTATAAGTCTTCCTACCAATATGACCAAGTTGCTAAAACAAGGTCAAACAACTTCTAAATCCAATTTTGTTAATAGAATGCAGATTTGATGAGCCTTATAATTCTGGCCATATCGAAAAGGTTGATGGCTTTAGTCCTTCTGAAGCTGAGTAGGTGGTCCTTTGTCATTGAAAACCAGGCCGACGTCATGACGGTACTTTGTCGAAATGCGTTTATGTTACGCGAAGACGCAAAAAGTCCAAAATCCGATAGATAATTGCTTCCTCTCTACCCTCTGTTCTTGGTTATATTTGTTTTGGCTTATAGCTGTATAATTGGAGAGAGATATCAGGGAGTGGATATGAGGGTAGAGTAAAAGCATAATAGGCACTTTTTTGAGTATTTCTGGATGCTATAATTACATCTTCAAACCAGAAAATATCATGCTATTCTACTTTTTCTTTGCAATAAGAATCTTGGTTTTTACTGTATATAGCTTCTGCTTCGCGAAGATGACAAGGTCTACAAGGTTCTCGAATTGTTGGGCCACTTTCAAGACAAAGGAAGCTGTCTGATCTTCGTCGAGAAGCAAGAAAGTTCAGACGAATTGATGCGTGTTCTTATGAAATATGGATACCCTTGTCTTTCATTGCACGGAGGTATTGATCAATACGATCGAGATAGTGTGATCACCGACTTCAAACGTGGCAATGTTCGCGTGCTGGTCGCTACTTCAGTGGCAGCCCGAGGTTTGGATGTACTAGACCTGGTACTGGTGATTAATTACGATTGTCCAAACCACTACGAAGACTATGTGCACAGATGCGGGTAGGTACGGATATCAATACCTTTTATAGCGATCGTAATATTATGCGA